GATTGTTCATTGATTCCTCCAAAAGAAGTCTAAACAATGTTTTCCTTCATAATGGTAATATATATGCATCTGTTCCTATTGCTCATTCGGTTCATTTGAAGGAAACATATGAACATCTTAGTAAGGTCAAATACAAAGAACATGGTTGGCTACTTTGTGGAGACTTAAAAGTCCTTTGTATGTTGTTGGGTCAACAATCTGATCATACAAAGTTTCCATGTTTTTTGTATGAATGGAACAGCAGAGCATGAAATCAGCACTGGATAAAGAAGCACTAGCTTTGTAAAGTCAGCCTGATACCAGGATCGAAAAACACTGAATGTGAAAGTTTGGTTGACACAAAGAAAGTCCTATTACCTCCACTCCACATAAAATTGGACTTGATGAAGCAGTTTGTAAAGGCCTTAGGCAAAGATGACTACTGTTTCAAGTATCTATGTGGGCTATTCCAAGCTCTTTCAAAAGCAAAACTTAAAGAAGGGATTTTTGTTGGGCCTCAGATTAGGAAATTGACTTCAGATGAACAGTTCAAAATAACAGTGAAGAAAATTAAAAAAGAAGCATGGATTGCCTTTAAAGATGTTATTGACCAATTTTTATGACTCAAATTATGAAAATATTGTCAGTAACATGCTCAAAAAATTCAAAGAGTTGGGTTGTAATATGAGCTTGACAGTTCATTTCATACACTCACATATTGACTCTTTCCCTGAAAATCTCGGTGCCATCAGCAAAGAACAAGGGGAAAGGTTTCATCAAAACATCGAGGAATTGGAGGGGAAGTATCAGGGATGCTCCAGATGCAATACATAAAAGAAAGATCACAACACATTGTTTTGAGACTAAAGGACATAGATTTCACAAAAAAAATGAGGATGCATATTCGTTTGACATCAATGTTCTTCCCTTTTCTTCAGCTTGTTTGTATTTTTGTTAACAAAATAATAATAAAAATTTTTCATTGTGGTAAACGAAATAATAATTTGATCTAAGTAAGAGTTTTTTTCTTCCCTATTTGTATAAAGTCCTTACATGATAGAAAAAAATGAATATTATTTTCAAAATCTGCATAGCTGAATTATGGAAAATCTGTTATTAAAACCAAAAAAACTTTTTTGAAGTTTAAATTCGCAGACCTGTGTTATTTCTAAAAACACAACACACTGTTGATTTTGTTCATGATATATTAAAATGGATATCTAATTTTTATGCTAGTGATAAAAATATACAATTTTTTAGACATTTCCCTTTGTCATATGGAATTAAATCTTGTGAACTTCTCTTTTATAATCTGTTTATTTTATTATTTTAATTGTATATACTAAGAGGTTTCTAATCAAAAGATGTGAAACATCAAAGATAATAATCAATAAATGGATTTAAACTTACCATTAAAAGATATTTCAAAGGCTCCTGTTGAAAGTAACTGACCTTCGATTGTGTTCCCCAAGAAGAATGACATTAAACAAGCATACATCTGCAAATACAATTTGTCACTTGAAAGTTTTTACAACAGTTGAACTTATCAATACTAGAAATAAATGACCTTGTAAAACCAAAATGCTGTTTTTATTTAATTAGACACTCAACATTTTGCTTTACGGCTTCATCAGGAGCATTCACTAAAACACAAATCGAAACTGACAGTAAAAAGCTTCAAATGGTTTAAATAATAAATTCTATTAGAATCTATAACATGCATTTGTACAGTGTGCTTTTGACGTATTAAGTATTAAAGCTTATTATTGTAAGAAAAATATTGTTGAAATAATTAACTGTTACCTGTAGTAAACAAAAGTTCTATCAAGGTTACAGAGTGAAATAACAAAAGACAGGATAAAAAACAATGACAATAATATACAATCTATCTTGTTTCACAAACCAATTAAAAACCTCTCTTCCTTAACTTCAACTCCCATCATCCCAAAACTTCCAAGAAAGATGCAATTATTGGAGAATTAAACAAAATTGATCGCAACTATAGTGATAAAAAAGAATAAACACTCCAAATTAAAATCACTTCTTCTGAGCAACAAATAACCACCTTTTTACATCAAACAAATTTTCAAGGACTATGACGTGCAAAAATCAGCATCACACTTTCAACATGAAAAAACACAGATAAACAAGGAGAAAAAAAAAGGATTTTCCAAAGATAACACAAAAAAGGATATTTTTATAACATGTCTAATAGATGAAGATATCTCCAAGAAAATAAAAACTATAATCAGGAAATCTGAAATGCCAATTAAAGTTATAGAACGGTCAACTTTCAAAATCTCAGTACACTACCCTACAATGTAATAAGGCCAACTGTCTTACAAAAACATGTTTGCAATCTAAAGATGAGTGTCTTGTCTCCAATGTTGTTTACCAGCTTACACGTAGCATCTGCCATCATATACACAGAAACTGGAAGAACCCTACACACAAGAATAGAACATATTGATGAAAGAAGGGCAGATGCAGTTCATTTTTTAACTAATCATGGACAAGTAACACCTGACTTGAAACCACCATTCTCCATACAAATCCTCACCAAAGCCACCAAGTACACTGACAGAAAATTCAAAGAAGCTCTTCTCATCAAACAACTATGACCACAGGTGAATATGGACAAAGGATGGCACCTATAATTTTAATTATTTTATTTTAATTTTTATCCTATCTTTTTGTTATTTCAACCTGTAACTTTGATAGAACTTTTGTTTACTTCAGGTAGCAGTTAATCATTTCAACAATACTTTTCTTTCGACAATAAGCTTTACAAATGCATGTTATAGATTCTAATAGAATACATTATTTAAACCATTTGAAGCTTTTTACTGTCAGCTTCAGTTTGTGTTTTAATGAACACTCCTGAAGAAGCTGTAAAGCAAAACACTGAGTGTCTAATTAAATAAAAACAACATTTTGAAGAAGCTGTAAAGCAAACACTCAGTATCTAAATAAATAAAAACAACATTTTGGTGTTATAAGGTCATTTATTTCTAGTATTAATATGTCTCCTATACACCAATATGCACTACAGAAATTAAATAACAATTAAACTTGCTTTGTACACTCAATAACAGTAGTTCTTTCACATTTTAATCTTCTGGGATCATAAAACCATATCCAAATGTCTGTCAAAATTCAAACTTTCAAACAGTAAAGTTGGTATTTTCTGAAAAAACTTAATTTGAAAAAATAAAATATTATACCAGAAAGAAAGTTCAGGTCAGAGGTGAGTTTTTCCAAATTTGCAGGTAGTTATGCATTACAAAAATGTGTCATTTTCAAGTAGACCAATTTTTCAGTGAGAGTTTTATAAAAATATACACAATAGGAAACACATTAAAACATATCTATATATACAAACATAAATGGTGACAGACAGTTGGTGGAAAATTACTGCAGCTACTTCTTAAGCATAAACACAAAATACCATTGTGTTTGATGGATATAATGCTAATACAGTCTTATATGTTAATGAAAATGTCAAAAGCTCAGCAATATTAATTTCAAACAGCAAACCGTTGAGGACTGAGCTACAATGCACATAAAACAAATAGGATATTGTTATATAATAATGTACATATTTGTATGTAATGTGTAATTTAGCCTACAATCAAAAAAGAGGACATAGAAATATTTAAACTTCCAACCTGCATAGATTAAGCGTGTCACCATATGACGCACAACTGATAATCTGTAATCTTTTTAAGTATGTTGCTTATTTAAAAATATTGAATTTTTTATGTTAATAATGCAAAAATGTAAAATCCAATTAACTGCACTTTCTATTTAACAGTTTCCAAGCTTCTGAAGATTACAAAGTCATAATTACATCATCTGAAAGCTTGAATTTTTTTTATTACCACCTATATGACAAAGAGCTCCCTTTCTTCCTTATATGTAATGTACATTTTTAAACTTTGTTATTACATCAAAAAACAATTTGATCACATCTTCAAATAACCTAACTGTAGCATTCTTTGTATACTAATCTTTATAAGTAAAATAATTTGATTTGTTCCAATGTTTGTTTATCTATCTCGTAGATATAATTACTTTGACAGTTACTGCTATTTCACAAAAACTCCCATTGGTAATATGACGCAATGAAACTTACATGAACTTACAAGCTTAGAGATTAGCAGGAAGTCCTTTTGAAATATAAATTTAAACAAAACAAAAGAACATAGGTAAGTTTTATAGCGTACTAATATTTCTTGAACATTTTAGAATGTGCCATGCATCATATTACATATGCACATACAGATATAAAAACAAATCTTGAAAAATACACAATAAAACTGTGGAATCTGTTTTAAGTGGTGAATAAAATTCAAGTTATAATTGATGTTTGAAAGTTACATAGAAGATATTACTGTACATCAGAAGTCACTCACTGAACTTGAATCCTGCTTAAGTAGAACCATACCATTTTAAAATGCAATTGGGTAAAAGTACAGATTAGAAGAACGTTCTTTCCACTGTATATTTTTTACCTTCCCACATATAAACAGTGGGAGCATCTCAGACAGCAGTATTTACAGTTACATAGAAGATATTACTGTACATCAGAAGTCACTCACTGAACTTGAATCCTGCTTAAGTAGAACCATACCATTTTAAAATGCAATTTGGTAAAAGTACAGATTAGAAGAATGTTCTTTCCACTGTATATTTTTTACCTTCCCACATATAAACAGTTGGAGCATCTCAGACAGCAGTATTTACGTGTTAAGGTTTTGTGTGTGAATTTCTTCAATTGTTTATAGACACTTAACAGTACTGATATCTTCTTCCTGTTAAGTTTTAATAATTGTCTCCAATACCCAGAATTTGAAAGCATCACTAGATTTAGTTCTCTTACCAGATAAGTAGATTAGTTGGTCATACTTGATCAGATCATCCAACTCAAAATATCTTTTGTACTAGTGTTTGGTGGGTATCATGTGTTATGGAATAGGTAGCTTTAACCTTACAGTCACTGAGAAGCCCTGCACAGCCATCAGATTTGTTTGGAACTGAATGTATCCAGCCTCATATGTGAGTAGTCTAGGCAGGTCATTTAAATGTTTTAATTACTTTAAATATAAGCACTACCTTTACATTTTCTAAACATTGTGCATTTAAATACAAAATACCACAACCAAAATAATGCTTCATACATGAAACACAAGTTTTTCCCCAGTACTTAAATATTATGATCAATTCTAAAATAACTTTTACTGGTAAAAATATGTCTTCTGTTGTTTTACTTGTGGCTGTAGGCTGCAGGAAAAAATTAAAGAGCTATGTCATAAATAATTAAATCACCTTTCAGAGGTGAAAAACACCCTATAGTTACACTTTCTATTACTCACTTTATTTTGAATCATCCATGAATAGAAAGGTGGAGTAGGCATCCCTAAGATTTGGAATATATCTACACCTCCAAGAACTAGAGCAATGATACCAAGCTTGGCCACACTGAGAAACTGGGCAAGATGTAGCCGAACAGCTGAGGGAGGATACGTGTCTCCGAGAATGGAAATGTCTGGATACTTCTCTTGAAGAATTGAGACATACTGCTCGAAGACACGCTTGTATCCTCATGAATAGCTATAATATAAAACAATAACAACATATATAAAACTTCTGGAAAATGTTTATGTGATTTAAATATAATCATCTTATATAACACGCTGATGGAATTAGATAAAAATGCAAGACTTATATACAGTCAATAGATCCTAAAAGAATATAGTTTCTGATCACTGAATACTTTCTCATGTAAGAAAAATAATCATAACATGCAAGTCGAAGGATAATAACTTTCTGAAAATGACTGGGTTTTTATCTTGCAGCATTAACAGCAACAATAAATAGGACAGACTGTTCTCTAGAAATCAGTTGTATGTGTAAACTTTCAAAATTAACAACATAAAATAAATAGAGATTCTTCAATCTGAACTTTAGAAAGAAGAAACATTAGATCAGTACAAGTTATCTTGTGTAATAAACCTTTTCACATACATAATACTTAAAAATGTATCACCATTTTGGGAACAAGTTGTATTTAGATTTAAACACTTCTACAACATTCAAGTTATTTCCAACCTTATGATTCCAGAAATCATACATATTGTATTCACTTACATCATTTTTAGTATCGGAATAAAACTCCCCAATTCTCCTACTGTACAAAACGAACAGCAATGTTTCAGTGTAGATTCATAACTCATGGCTATAAGACCAAGAATCATTCCAGCAGCTACCCTCTCTACTTTTGTCTAACAAACCATTATCCCTTCTATAATAAGGAAACCTAACTGAACACAGTATCATAAATGGAAAACTAAAAAGATATTTATGAAAAACAAAAAACAACATTTTGATAACTAAAATTCGGTTACCTTTTACCAACAGACAAAAGCTTGTCAGAAAGCTTTACAAGCTTTAACACCCAAAACATTTTCTTCTTCTGCAGGACCAATACATTTTCTATCCAAATTTTTAAACCCCAATGTGCAATCCTTAATATTTGATTTTTTTTAAATATGAAATCACTCATTTAGATTTATTGAACTATCCGTATATTAAAGGAATATTATGAAAAGAATTAGCATTATCCATCTATTTCTCATTTGCACACTTAAGTATAATACAGCAATGTTAATGTCCATATTCTTATTAATATAAATAATAAAATCTACATGGCTGAACCCCAAAAAATAACAATCCTCATCCAAACCAACTAGTGCCTATCCTGTCTTTTCCAAATCTTAATGATCTTCATATGTGGCACGATGAAATCAGATACTTTTATCCTATCAATCCCTCAAATACATGTGATCTTGCAAATTTCAGTATAATTTCTTACCCTGCTTTTCTCAAGAGAAATAAGTGATCTTAACTTATCCCAATAAAATAACCCATCCTTGGAATTATCTTAATAGCCCTCCCCTGAACCTTTTGCAATAAGTATTGCAATATCCTTTTTTTATATAAAATTATTAAAACATACACAGTACTACAAATGAGATCTAACTAGTTATTCGTAAAGAAAATTGACTTATCATCAGTATGTCTGTAACTATACCCTAAAATATCAGTAGCTTTACTACTAAGAAAATAGCACTGTTCCAATGGCTTGAATGACTGTACCATTATACCAAGATCCTTTTCTTTAATCACACTATTAAGCAGGTTCTCAGCTACATTAAAAATGTGATCCAAATTATGATAGCTTATATGTATTACCTTGCACTATAATTAAAGGCTGCTAAACACTTATACAACTGATTGATCCTAGTCATACTTTAACAACTCAACATCATCAATAAAGCTAGAAATATTCTTATGCTTAAAGTACACAGGAAATTGTAATAACGTATCAATTATGTATCCCATCAATACTAATAATGTAAATAAGAGAAATCATAGGCCAAAGCACTAAACGCTGAAGCACTTCTTTAGTAACAAAGGTCAGGTTTGACTGGACTTCATTAATAACAACTTCTTTCTCCCATCCAACCACTCTACAAATGAATTAACTCCCCCCTCCCCATAACAGTGTGAACAATATGATTTTATCTACTAATCTTTAGTGTGGTACCTTATCAAAAGCTTTTGGAATATCTAAGTGCACTAGGTTCACACCCCTTCCATCATCCAGATAACAACATCCTTGAAAAAATATAACAGATAAGTAAGGCAATATTGGTAAATACATGTTGGCTTTCATTTGTGATGCCATATTTCAGTGATTTTGTAAAGATTCTTTTATCAGATTCTCTAAGATTTTCCCACTATGATCAACTAGACTATAATTTCCAGGTATTGGCGTATCTTTGGGATGCACAGGCAAAATCTTACCAAGCAGTAATTTTTTTATCATTATTTACTTATATTTTAATTTATAATATGAGCAGTCATGAAAGATCATTCCATTCTTCTTACTGAATCATGAACCAGGGAAATGTATACTATTATCGTGAATTTATTAATTCTGATTCAAGTCTAAGCTGAGTGATTCAAACCGTGCACACTGGTCAAACTGTAACCAATTAATGAACTGAAGGATGAGCACTTGAACAGACTGACAAGATTAAACCTGTTTAGATAATATAAGTATGACAGTCTGTTTAATGTTAAGTTAGTTAAGATACGTTTCACAATGATATAAAATAAATTACGTAAATTACCCATGCATTTGCCTCAGGGGCTTGTGCACCACCAGCCTTCAGACAATTCCCACCTACTCTCATGACATTACTTGTATATTGCACTATAGCACAATGGTGTTATTATGCACCAAAAGTCCTCCACCAATAGAAGGCTGACACACCTCCCTGCACACTACATCGCTCTATAGTTTTTACTCATGAATCTTCATTCTTTGACAAGGCAAGGAATACTAAGGTGCACTGGAAGTGAGGAGGAAAGGTGTGAGAAGAGGTATTTATTGGAAATACATTTCTAGGTAAGGAAAATGTTAACTTCCAAGATGATACACAACCTCTGCAATCAGTTAAACATGCAATGGCAAAGGCTCCATAGGGGCACATCCATGGAAGACCACATCTCATCTCTTCCAAAATAGAGTAACCCTATGTGTACAGAAAAGTGTGACCACAAGAGGTCAAACCATGACAGCCAGTCACCCTCAGGATTAGACTCAACATAATCATCACTGATGAGCTTGACAAGTCTGATGCCAGGTAGAAGAGGAAAGTTGGGAAGTGGGAATGGGAAGATGGGATTCAGGGGACTGAGTCAAGGTACAATGGTGGAGGGTTAGGTTTGGGACAGTGTAGAAACAAAGGACGAATGCAAGGACTGATGCGGCAGCCTCAGCCTGTGTTTCAATCAAATCAGGAATACCCTAAAACTTCAGGGAAAAGAAAAAGGGCCAGGTGAGGATCCTATAGAAGGAAAAGAAGAAGACACACTTGGGATAGGAGAATATTCCTACCCAACAATTCCCAGCAGCAAAGAGCCTAGTGAGCAGGAAAATTGTAGAAGTGGAACAGGCCACAGTGGAGAAGTGAATAGAACAAGAATTGCCCACAATATTCTCTGTAGCATGGGCCTCTGAGTTGAGGTGTAGATAGATAGTAAAAAGTATAGTAAAAAGAATCTGGCAAAGCCAGGAGTACTGGACACTGAGGGCAAAACTGATGCTAAATAGTCCACCCCAGATAGTCCAAGGGCAATTCCCAACATGGGAATTGAGAAAAGATATTCAGAATAACTAAAATTAAGGACATAAGAATCAGATAAACAGGGAGGACAAAGTTTGAAGTTGTGGAAACATCACTGGTCAAGACAAAAGGTAAATAAAATTAATTAGGGTTAGGATTAAGAAGTAGAGAACAAGAATAATAATATGACACAGGGGAAAGAGAAATAAAGGTTCATACCAGTGAAATCAAGTCCTGATAATGTGAAAAAGTGTAAGGGGAAAAAAAAAAAAGAGTTCTCAAAGCAGAACCAGGAAGACGAAACAACCAAATCTGACCTAATTATTCTTCCCTCAAAATGAGAAGAAGGAATACCTGAAGAATAAACTGGAGTTGAAGGTCCTGTATGTTTCATAGTTTCTTCCAACTTGTACTGCACAATGCAAGCATATTAAAATTATAATGTTTTTTTCAAAACTTATGTCAGTATTAACAACTTCCCACATAAAAAATTAAATGTTTTTAATAATTATACTTTTTTTTCATACTCATGATGGAATTAGAAAACAATTCCAAAATGTCAGTAATTAAGGATTTTTTTAGTACTGCCCTGTTTTTTAACCTTTTCAAGATGAGACATAGGTGAAAGGCCATGTCATCTCGTTTGTTAACTTACATTCAAAATTTTATTG